ATGCTGCTTGGCCTGCTGTGTTCATCCAGCTCTGCACCTTGTTGTCTCGGATTCTCCAGCATCTGCAGTTCCTACTATCTCTGTATAGATAGCAAGTTGTTTGTTGGAAGTCAACCATTTCAGTCCCAGGATGTCCCTGCAGGAGTCCCTCAGGGTAATGTACCAAACCCAAACATTTTCATCTGCCTCCAACATGGTGTCATAAATGGCGGTTTTCACTGCTGGTTGCATAATGTTCATTTTAGCTGAAGGTACTGGTCTGAAGTATCTTGGACTGTGATTGTTTGCACATAGTGTCCCTGAGACTGCTTGCTCCATATTTCCAAGTAAGGCTCTTTAACACCGTATACATTGTAACAATTCTTTATTTGCATCTATATATCAGATCATCATAAATATAAACTTCATGTTACATTTCTTTATCCATAAAAGCATCAGAATCTATCATACATATATACATTGTATATATTGTAAATATACATTGTAGTCCCAACATTTTTCGTTGAACAAGGGGAAAGAGTTAATGTGCTTGTGAAACTATTTCCATTTTAGCTGTTTAAATTAGCCCTGTATACAAATGTTTCAATAGGACTCTTCAACATTGTCCATGCCCTGTGTTGGATCCAGTCTTATAATAGACAGTTCTCTTCAATTCCTACTTTGCACTTATAGATGCAAGAATACAGTATCACTATTGGCGGATAGTCTTTAAGCAATTGCTGCAAATGCTGCAATTGCAAATCTTGTTGATTACTTAATATTAATGAACATGAATTTGTGTCTTCTATGAGCATGGTGTGACCATTACGTAGTAAATACATCATGTGCTGCTTGTACAGTTGCTGTATTGCATTCATCAAATAAACAGTAGGGAAAGGGAAGTCTGAGGAAGGGTCACTCAACCTGGAACGTTATCTCTGATTTCTCTCTATAGATGCTGTTAGACTTGCTGAGCTTTTCCAGCAATTTCTGTTTTTGTTGTTGAAGGGAAAATGATATTAGCCCATGTGTAATTAAATATATTTGCAAGTTTTGTACCTGAATTCCTGTAATAAGCACCACTTAGATACAGAGGAAACTCTTTCAAAATTAGTTCCCGACTCCTTATACAGAAAAGCAGGATTAATTGTATATTTACTCCCTGATAGTCTTACTTGATGAGTTTGTCAATTGTTTGCAATTTTACTAAATTTTGAACAATACTGTGTGACGCACCTGCAACAGACACTCCGGAAACAGGTGGCAGTGAGGGAGGGTACCAGGTAGGGAGTTTGAACAGACTGTCTCTAGAGGAAATGGTATCTTTCTTAGAAAGAGGATGCCTGGAGAGAGGGAGAGACAGACAAAAGATTTCCTCAACCAGATGCAAACTACAGGCTTAGCTCCGCGTAAATACCTTGTCATCCTAGTTTAACATGAATTATTCTCATGTTTTAAAGACCTGATGCCAGTGGAATAAAGAATTCCTGCATCATGAAGTTCAGGTTATCTATATACTTACAAATTACTTTATAGATCTGAAGTCATTCAAGCTGAATTGAGACTGATGAGATCGATTCCATTTCAGGCATTTAACTTGCCAGAAAGGGATTCATTCCCATTATTTGAAATTTGAATTCAGTTACCAAAAGTTTCAGGTGATGAGCCACTCAACTTCTTTGCTTCTAATGATCCTGTTGTATATTTCAATTGTATCCATTGCAGTTTGAATTTAATTTTGGTAGAGGAGGCCCTCTAGTGGCACAGTGGTAGTGTCCCTACCCTGGACCAGGTGGTCCAGGTTCAAGTCCCACCTGCTCCAGAGGTATTTAATAACATCTCTGAACACATTGATTAAGAAAAATAGGTATATATTTGATAGGATACATTCTCTACAAATGCAGATATCTAGCAGTTTTTTTGCTTGTGTCTTATGTCTTGTCTTGATTTTGCACAGAAAAACTATTGTTAGTGGAGGTTCTGCTATTCCCCATCCTTATGGAATAACTAATTTTGAGGATAAATTGTATTATACTGATTGGACCAAGATGGCACTTATGAGAGCCAATAAGTCTACAGAAAACGACCCACAAATTGTCTATCAATCTTCATTGAGACCATTTGGCGTGACAGTTTATCATGCATTCAGACAGCCATTTGGTAAGTTTAATTACATTACATAGACTTGGAAGAATAATTGATTTGCATACTTTACTGCATGGACACAGTGACACAGTAAATTATGGTGCACAAACTTTAATGTAATTTTAAAAACTTAGAGAATTTGTTTCACTTTAATTACACTTTTGGAGCTTCACACAATGTTTAGTAAATTGCTACAGAAATTGACATTTTTGTACTTGGTGTGAATGATTTGGCGTTATTTATATTGTCATCATCTCACTGTACCTCTTATGGATTCATTTGCAGCTAAGAACTCAATTTATTGTTAACCAAATTAAAAATGCACACAATTTCCAGAAAAGAAAACATACTTACATTTTCTTTGTTTCAAAAACATTACATTAGAAATATCTACATTTATCTTCATTAAAGCTCCTTAAAATCTACTTCTTTGACACCAATTTTGTTCATCTGTTTTAATGTTTCTTTCTATGACCTGTTATAAACTTTGCATGATTAAGCTCCTGTGGGTTCCCTTGGGGTAGTTTACTATGTTAAAGGCACTAAAGAAACACAAGTTGTTGTTGCAGGTAGATGAATTTAATCGGGACTTGTGACCAGCAATTATTTTAAAAGATCCCCACCTCTGCACAGAAGCATAAAACCTTAAATTGTTGAAAGAGGATATTTCATCTGTCATATCTGTCCTTTGAAAGAACCATGCTGTTTAGTTTCACAACATCTTCCCATAATTCTGCAAATTACTCCTCATCAGGTAAATAACCACTTGTGTTTAAAGTTCCATTGGAGCCTGATTCTACTGCACTCTCAGGTACTACATTTTGAGTCTTAACAACTCTGCATAAAGTAATTGCTCCTCATTTCATCAGTGCTTTTGTCAATTATTAAGTCTATGATCTCTGGCTATCAATCCAATTACCAGAGCCAGAGGTTTCTCCTGACAAAACACTCTGCAATTTTGTAAAGCTCTAGGTTTTCCCTTAACTATCTAAGTTTAAAAGGGAACAATCTCAGTTTTTCCACATTTTGCTTTACAAAATTGAAATTACACATCTCTAATATCATCTTGATAAATCTCTATCTTGTCCAGGACCTTGACACCCTTCCTAAATGTCGTGCCCAGAATTATACACACAAGCCAACTCGAGTTCCTCTCAATAATCTGTTAAGGTGTGGGGTGGCTTTCTTGCTTTTTATATTCCATGCCCATCTTACAAAGCTATGTGGCCAAATGCTTTCTTAATAATCTTATCAATATGTCTTTCCCCATTTAGAGTTTTGTGGCTATATGTTCTTGTTTCCTCTGTTTTTGTACCCACTCAGAATAGTCAGCCTTCTCATGTTATTTCTGCTAAAGTGCACCACTGCACACTTATCTGCACTAAATTGCATCTGCCAGCCACTTCTGAATATGTCATACTGAAGTCTGCTTCTAAAATGCCCACTATTTCCTGCATTGCCAATTTTTATATTGTCCACAACTTTGAAATTGTACTCACGCTACTCAATTCCAGGTAATAATTTAATAACAAGGAAAGCATGTATGTTTTTCTCCGTCTCCTTCAAAAGTAAAACTAATGTTAAACTGCACCTTGTATTTATAACAAACTGAAAAAAATACTTTTATAGCAACTATACATTTAATTATTATATATCTGGACTGATATTTGGAATACGGTAGATTTGGAATGCTGCTGCTTTGAAATCAAATATGTTTGATGCATGCAATAGGCTTTTCAGTGGCCAAAGTTACCCAATGGTTAGTTAGCAGTTGAATTTTTTTTTTGCTAATTCATCAGCCTTTGCTAATCCATGGATTTTTGTAAATATTTATTTGCTTTTTTTTTTACACAATTTACTTCACTTAGTAATATAAAGCTTGCAATAATTATGTGTAGAAATGTTAGGACTTCCTATCAGGTGAGGAATTGTATTTTATGTACAAAGGAAGGAAAAAGAATGACACTTCCCTAACCCCGAATGGTGAGACCCATGTTAAAGCCTCACCTGCTCCAGAGTGTGTAATAAAATCTCTGAACAGGTTGATTAGAATAAAAAAGGTTTTAAGTATCAGCTGGTCAATTGAGTGTTTTTCAGCTATTGTAAAAGGGCAATATGATGTCCTGTTAGTGATAAAGTACAATAGTTAACTTCATACTGTTCTAACACAGTTTCTATCCTGCAATGTAATGTGGACAGCATGACACTTCCTTTTTAAAAAAATGCTTTAATCTGATGCTTGCTTTGTTTTGTATGCACCCATTTTAGTGAGAAATCCATGTGGCAGGAATAATGGTGCATGTGATCATATCTGCATCCTTAGCCATGCAACTGACAATGATGGCCTGGGTTTCCGATGTCGGTGCAGATTAGGTTTTGATCTTCACCATGATGGGAAACATTGCTACGGTATGAGAATGTTCCTAAAATTCTTTTACTTTTTTACAAGACACTTTAGGAGAATCTATGTAAATTTCCATTGGCGTACTCTCCTGTGTTGCTTACTTACATGTACCTTCATTAACTTCCTAGTATTTCAGTAGTTTTGTATGAATTTCACAATTAATGATATAGTAAGAAATATCATTGTCTGAATAAAGCACAGAAATAAGTGACTGTCAGCTCGACAGTGCATCATATCAGAAAGTGCTGTGACTAAAGAACTGCTGTGCAATCAGGAAAGAAAGCATAAGCTCTCACAGGAAGTTACAAAGCATATTATTAGAGCAGGAGTTTGTACTTTTTGATGTGAGGAAATGGGTCAGTCAACTTGCAAGGAAGGAATTAAATAAACAAATAAAATTGTTTTAGTGGGCAAAGTTTCCCAGGCTGTGAATGAGATGGACTGTGGTGATCATGTGAGATTTGATTAAGGCCCTTCTTGATATAGAGACCAAGCAGTTGCATTTCTGATCACGTCCCAGATATCGTCATAAGATTGGCACTAATGAGATGTGAGATGCCTATTTATGGGGACATTGCTTCTTATCATCCTCATTATTACTTAATATTGCCTGATTATGATACCCTCTCTCTTTCTTCAACCCACCAGATAGAAGCTAGACACAGAGAATTCCCAATATGAAAGCCACAGCGGGTGTCTGGCAACTCTAGCTCCTTTGGGCATCTGTCTTAGACACCCAACACCAGTGTCTCAGGGCACAGTTCATGGGCAGTGACCATATGCGCCTCAGATCCAAGAACACTGACATTTGACATATATCAACCTTCCTACCTTCTTTGCACATCTGAAATTCACTTACAATATGTTTCTGCATTTCAGTACTGTACCTTGGATTACGCCAGCACCTTTGCGTGCAGGTACAGGCATCCAGCTCATGGTTTGGAGCAGGGTGCATCTCCAGGATCTTCGCTTGCTGCCTTACTGCTCATTCACCTGGATGCTCACAGCATCTTTGCCTTACTTTTTTGTATTTTGCCAGCTCATTTAGAACTTATAGGATCAAGGTACTTCTATCTTGCCTTACTGATACAAATCAAGGCAGCAAGTCATGATTGTCGATAGTGATCAATCAATAGGGTGGGCATGTTGGTGTATGGAACTATGCTGTGCCAGTCTCACACCTACGCCATCTGCCAGCAGTGTATGCGGCAAATACACTGTGTGTCCTTTGAGAAAATGGCCGTGTCTCAGAGTCAAAGGGAAGCAGTACTCAGTCAAGTCAAATGAGACATCCTTAATTCAGAGGATCCAGGCACAGTAAGTCAAGTAGAACCTCTGACATTTGCCTAGTGACTTGTGCACAGTTAGTTGTCTGCTTGGTAAGATCATGGTCCGGATCGTAATATGGGATGAGGGGCTGAATGCTGGGTATTCCATCACCCGTTTAGGTACTTACTGCCCAGTTATGGGTCATTTTCTCTTAGAATGAGGGAAAAGGGGGGATTGAGTGAGATGGAAGTGGGTGGCGCAGCTGTTATCATTAGTGCAAATGGGAATAATGGTCGGGTGTTCAGAGTGAAAGTGTAGACAGCGCAGAGCCGTGCAGAGTTGGTAATAAGGGGGACATTAGGTGGATGAGAGCAAGTGAGAGAAGATGCTACATGCAGCATGAGAGGGTTGGAGCATGCACATTGGTGAGAGGTGGATGTAGTAGTAAGGATAGAGTGAGTGTGAGGTAGCAAAGAGAAGATGGTGGCACATACTTTAGCTGAGCAAAGAAGGCCATTTGCCTTCTTCTTCTTCTTCCTACTGTTGGGTGTTTTGCCAGACAGTTGAGGGTCCATCGACCTGGCAGGCAATCTTGGACCAGGCTGACAGTTGTTGTGAATTCCTCTGATGGTTCTGGAAGAAGAGGACATCCCTCCTCTCTCCCACCCCATGTACCGCCAGATCCCTGCCCACACAGCAGGTGCCAATTTCTCATTATCTAACGTGTACAGGATAAATATCACAAATCATTCAGGGCAGGTCTGGACTGCCAGGATTTGACTGGGAGAACAACTGTCTTAAAAAGTTGGTGCCCATCTGAATTCCAGGATATCAGAGCAGTGGCAAGTACTTTCATCTATGGAGAATTGGGCTCGCATCAAATGAGTTGCTTGCCATAACGGAGTGGTACAGAGTTAATGATATGAGTTTGGGATGATAACAGAAAAATTTGCTAGTCCTTGCAGAGAGAAAACCGCCACAAAACTTGAGAAAAATTATGCTTAGCCAATTTCTGGTAGGATTCAGCCCTGTATGTTTGTTCAATGATAAATATTTAAGAGACTGAAATAGTGAGATCAATCTGCTGCTCCCACATTCCCTGATAGAAGTGTAGATAAGACAGAAGGCTACAACACCAGAATTCCCTCCCTATCATCATCATGGGTGTACCTGCATCGCAAGAACTGTAGCAGTTGACGAAGGCAGCTCCTACCAAGGGCATCTGGCGATGGGCAATAAATGCTGGCCAGCCAGCAAAGCCTACACCCAAGAGTGAATTTAAAAAAAAAGCATCTCCAAGTATCTGACCCACCTTTCGTTTAAATGTAGCATTGCATAGGTCAGTGAATGTACCAGGCATTTGAATGTTAAACTCGTTCACTTCATCATTGCTCTTCCCTTCCACCTTTTCCTTTTTTTTATTATTGCTACTGTTTCTTCCTTTCACCAATCACCTTCCCTATCCCTTCCCCTTCTGGCTCCTGGCATTTCTCACTGTACTGTGATTTGGTTTCAGTTTTTCCCTCCTTTCTTTTCTCATCCATCTCCTCCATTCATATACTTTGGGTCAGTTATGTCACTACTGTACTATCCTGCTCAGTTTGAATATTGATTTTGTTTTTGATTCCCTGGGTATGTTGCATTTCATTATATTTTGAACAGTTTATGTTCTTTCTTCTGCAGCCGTGACCCAGTTCCTACTATTTTCATCCCCGTTGGCTGTTCGTGGAATTCCTTTCAACATCTCCACTCAGAAAGATATTATCTTGCCTGTGACAGCAAGTCCCTCTTATTTTGTGGGACTTGATTTTGATGCGGCAGAACAGTCAATCTTTTTCTCTGATACAAGGACAGATCTGATCTATAAACAGAAAATTGATGGAACAGGTAATGAATAACAAAAGCAATGTGAATGATCAATAATAAATAATCATACCAGTGTTAATTTTTGCAGGATATCATGAATATGAAAAATATTGCACAGTGAGAATTTTTCTTGTTTTGTAGGTGTGTAATTTCTATTTGTGCCTTATCTATTAATTAAATCTTTTTTTTCATTCTTTTAGACACAATCTCATCTTGCTATCCTCTTAGATTTATGCTTAGGAATAATTTCAAAACTGGAAGTGAATTTCCGAATATTTGTAAGGAGCTAAGTCTGCCAACTTCACCTACAAAAGATTAATAATATATTTTAATACCATAAACAAATAAACTTGATGCACTTATCTATCTTTGACAACGACTGTTGAGGGTAGGCTCTGCCTAATTCTCAATGCTTTTCTGGGGAATTCCCTATTACATTATTCTCATTTGTGCTGGGTTAAGTAGTTTTAAAAAATCACCATAGGGTATGGAGATTGTATGAATCAGCTCAGGAGGCTGGATTTGAAGTTGTCTGGATCATTCCTTCTTGTGCACTGTCCCTCATTCCCATTCTTATTCTTATTCGCACTTACCACATTTCAGGTAAGAGCCTGAAACAGAAATTTGTACATATTAATGATCAAATCCGAGAATTAACATGAGTAATGTTTGATTTTCTTTTTGGTGTACAGACCGGGAAATCCTAGTTGCCAATAGAGTGGATGGAGTAGAAGATCTGGCTTTTGATTGGATTTCAAGGAATCTTTACTGGACTGATGCACGTTACAGCAGTATTTCTGTCCTGCGTCTAGCTGATAAATCCAGGAGAGCAATTGTTGAGAACTTGAACAATCCTAGATCCATTGTTGTGCATCCATTAATGGGGTAAGTAAAGCAAAAAAGACTATTCATAGTTTTCTCCCTATTAAATGGGCGCTATGTTGGTTCTGTGGTTAGCACTGCTGCCTCACAGCGCCAGGGACCTGGATCTGATTCCAGCCTTGGTGATTATCTGTGTGGAGTTTACATGTTTTCTCCATGTCTGTGTGGACGTGGTGTGCTTTGGTTTCTTCCCACAGTCCAAAGATGTTCAGGTCAGATGGACTGCCCATGCTAATTGCCCCACAGTTTCCAAGGATGTGTCCATGGTAAATGAGGGATTATGGGAACAGGGTGGAGGTGCTGGGTCTGGGTGGGGTGCTCTTTGGAATGTCTATGAAATACTATGGGTGGGATTTTAGGTATTGTTTATTGGCTTAGTTGGAGATTCACTTAACTACAGTACAATCCATAACTTTTAAATTTACTGTTTCAAAATCTACTTACAGATATATCTTCTGGACAGACTGGTACAGACCAGCAAAGATCATGAGAGCCTGGGGTGATGGGTCAAATGCTGTGGCAGTAGTTAATACAACACTGGGCTGGCCAAATGGTCTTGCTATTGACTGGAGGTAAGGCTAAGTTTACAGCTGTCAAAAGTCATGGCTGTATGTTTTCCTCCATTTACTAACAGACAACAAATATTCAGATTGCACTGAAGACAGTGTTTATGTGTGTACTGACTTTTTGAAGATCTTGTAAAATGAATATGAGCATTGACTTGAAGGTAAATTGATATAGTTTCTTTGATTAGACTTTATTAGGCCTATTAGAGCAGGAAGACTCCAGTTTCTCCATCATACTTTCTGATTTCAATCAAGACATCTATGGGATAATCAAATCACCCCTCAAAGCTAGAAAGGGAAAATGAATCATTTGGCACTTTCAAATCTCAATTTCACCTGATCATGACTTGTCCTAGAGTGTTATATGTAGGGACCTTAGAGGTTGCTGGCTGTGCTAGCAATTTGGAATGGTATTTGTCATGTGACCAAATGATCCAGGATAAAAGCTTTCTCTTCAAAATGTAAACAAGAAATTACCTTTACTTCCCTGTAAGAATTAATTTAAGATTCAGTTTTAAGTGGAATTATATTATTCACCTTTTAAATGTGGTTTATTGGTTGTTTTCTGAATTAATACAAGTAATACCGTGTATGTTCTGAAACAGAAATTCAACTCTTTCTATCCTAAGAAGAAAAAATAACTTCAAAAATGCTAGTTTTGTCAGTGGACATTCACCTATTAGAGAAATAAAAGATTTTTTGGCAATTCTGCAATGCATATTGTAGTTTAATCTGAATAACATCTGCAGAATGATGTATAAATTGCTCATAATTTGTTCTGTCAATGTTTGTTCCCATATAGGGCTAGTTAGTTTCTAGGTTTTGATATTATGTAGTCCAATTCGTGTCCACTTCTTATTTATTTGAGACATCAAATAGTGTATTGTAATGCTAAATTTATTTCCTTAATATGTGTGTGCATGTTTTCAATTCAGCATTTCATTCTGTAGAAGTTAGCCCTCATTTGAATTGAATCAAAAACTTCTGCTTTTTTTTAGTTCTCTTCGACTGTATTGGGTGGATGCCTTTTTTGATAAAATTGAGCACAGTTCCTTCAGTGGTTCAGACAGACAGACACTCAATCAAATTAGCCAAATGTCACACCCTTTTGGTCTTACAGTATTTGGTGGTAAGTCATTATCCTACGAAATATCAAAGTCATTAAACCTATCATAAAAACATGAGAATATATGTTGTAAAGCTTTCATGATAGATAATTATGTTCATTTTGTTGTGCTGAGCAAAATTACATCAGCTAGTTTAGTCAAAAATGGTTCATTGATTGTCTTTTCTCTGTAGATTATGCATACTTTACTGACTGGAGGCTGAATGGAATAGTCCGTGTTCGGAAAGTGGATGGTGGTGGGATGTCTATTATCAGGAGAGGCATCAACAATATTATGCATGTAAAATCATTTGATGCTTCTGTACAGACTGGTATGTATAAATAATCCAATTATAGATAGCTTAATTATCTACAAAATGTATCGATCTAACAGATTCAAATTTGAAATTATTGACAAAAGAATTTCTGCAGGTCTAAAATCTCACGTCTGTTTTATAAATGCATTTGTGGTGATGCAGAAACCCCATTTAATTTGGCTCAAAATGAAGACCGCATTTGAAAATTGCATCTCAAAACGTTTTACACAACGAAATAAACTAAGTGGAAATGACCTTCCATCAGATAAGAATAAAAGTAATTGTCACCTATTTGGATTTATTATTTTGCTACATGTAAAGGCTGAGGCCATTCAGGAAACCTCAATGGGGCATTGCCACACCTTAGCTGTTGGAGTTTCATTCTTTAGAATAGTCTTCTGGGTGAAATTCTCAGTTAGCCTAGGGGATAATGAAGCAATGAACTTTTGACACAAAAGATGCAAAAGTTACCCATACTTCTGTTGGCCAGAAAATGATGAAACAGCGCAAGTAGGGTAGAATCCTGTTAAAACTTAGTACTGCACCGAATTTCAGGACTGCCAGCTGCCTCTGAGACAGAACCTTGCTGGTTCAAGTCCCACACCAAAACTCAAACACAACAATCAAAGCTGACCCTCCAATATACTACTTGAGAGAGTGCCGCATGGACAGAGATGCTGCCTTTTGAAGAGGCTGTTAAACTGTTGTCCTGTCTGCTCTCTCAATGGTAAGATTTCTATAGTATCCCTGGCTTGGCTTCTATCAACACTACAAAAATTGGATACAAAAACGGCTTTAATCACCTTGCTGTTTGTAAATGTTTGCTGTGTACAAATGGCTTTTTTTTCACATTACAATAATAACTTTATTTCAGAAGTGCTTAGTTAGCTGTGTGGCACTTTGAGATTTTCTGTAGTTGTGAAAAGAGTTACATAAATTAATGTCTTCCTTTTTTTTCTTTTCAATCTGCTTACTGTCATCTTTGGGCCAAAATGGAATATTGGGCCAGTGGATTGTATAGGAGGGAATGTCTTCCTTTTAAGTTTGGTGAAGAATTTATTATATTTGAAAAAAGAAATGAGTTTTTGGAGGAATTTTACTTCTAATCTTATTTAACAACGTCCATCTGACTTAATACTGGGAAACGTTTATTTTAATTAATTTTCATGTTTGTCTTGCTTTGTTCTATATCCACTTGACAGATGTTTTGCTGTTTCATAATATAGGATCCAACTACTGTAACAAACCGACAAATCCCAATGGAGACTGTAGTCATTTTTGCTTCCCAATACCCAGCTATCAGAGAGTCTGTGGTTGCCCCTATGGAATGAAACTTGACTCCAACAACATTAACTGCATTGAAGATCCATCAAGTGAACGACCCACACAACAGTGTGCCGCCTTTTCTTTCGCTTGTGCCAATGGAAAATGTGTGCCAAGTTACAATCGCTGCGATGGAGTTAATGACTGTCATGATAATAGTGATGAAGCAAACTGTGGAACTTTAAGTACGTACTGTTGAAATTTACATACAATGTATCCAATGTGTAAGTACAATTGAGGAATTTAGTCTACTCATTAGATTTGTTTAAAGGTCTTAATTCCTTTTGTTGCATAAGATCAAATTTACCTTTCAGCACTTTTAATTAATACATTCTTGGCCTAAGAAGTACAACATTATGAAACATTACAGAATGAGATTAATTGTTCTCAGCTTTGAGAATACTTCTCTTTGTCATATTAATTAAATTTCGTATATACCTACTGATTTCAATTTCTTATGAATCATTATATTTAATTAATGTATCCTGAATGATACTTCAAGCAGCATTTTGCTTGCGACACTTGCAGACTTTGAACCCTAGTGATACTCTTGTCCCAGCAAATCCCATCAGAAACTTAGTATAAATGTTAGTGTAATAAGTATACTTTTCCTATCAGGAAAGAATTGGAAAACATAATTGCCTTTCAGATATCAAACTCGGGACTGTTCTTTCACTGAGTCAGGAAATTGCAGGCAGGATCCAGGTACAGAAGTCCCATCCCCATTTCTGACACATGTAACTTTTGCGAGCAAGGGGGAAGAGGATGAGGCATGATTCACAAGGAAGGAAGGTAGCTTTGAATATTGTAATAACATCATCCTTAATTAACAGAGATGTTCTAAAGGTAAGATGTAGGATAGTTTGGGTAGAGATAAGAAATAACTAAGGTAGAACTCATTTGTAAAGGTATTTTGCAGGCCCTGTAACAGTAATTGCTGTAGGATAGGGCACAGGGCTAACACGAAAGTATTTACAATGACCTTGCATTGGTGATTTTAATCTACAGGTAGATTGAATGAAGAATCAGGGTGGCAAATATAGCATGGAAGATTAGATAATAAAGTCTACTTAGGAAAATTTCTTAGAGTAGTAAGTTCTTGAGCCAATCAGAGAGGAGTCTATGTGAGACCTTGTAATGTGCAATAAAACAGGATTAGTTAATAACCTCATACTAAAAGAGTCTCTTGGAAATACTAATCACAACAAAATTGAATTTAAGACAATTGCAATGGAGCAAAGATAGAGTTGATTAAAGTGAACTGTGAAATTAGGTTTTAGGTGGACAAGGGAGATACAGTATCAGACATTTTATAAAATATTTCAATTACATTCAGCCAGAATATTTTTAGTCTGAAAGAAAAATTCTGTGAGGACACGCTACCTGCTGATAACTAAGAAAATTAAAAGATCATTTGAATTTGAAGGGAAAAAGATACAAAGGACTGTGGTGATTTTACCTTTTACCTTTTAGGTTATATCAAACTTCTTAAAGCATCTCATGCTCTCAGGCAAAGTCAACATGGCGTTATAAAGGGGGAAATCATGTTTGACTAACTTATTGGAGTTCTTTGAGGAAGTAACAACTCCCGTGGATAAGCGGGAACCTGTAGTTGTGATGTAGTTGGATTTCCAAAAGTTATTTGATAAGATGCCATAAGGTATGGATTGAGGATTGGTTAGCTAACAGGAAATAGACTGTACAGATTAATGGTTCATTTAATTGCAGTGGAATCAATTCAGAAAAAACTCACCTCACTGATTCCTGGAATGAAGAGATTGTCTTACGATGAACAGTTAGACAACTTGTGCGTTTGTCTATTGGCGTTTTGAAAAACTAGACTTGCTCTTATTGATATGCATAAGGTCCTGAGGGGAATTAACAGAGTTGGTGGTGAGATGACGTTTCCCCTTACGGGAAGTACTAGAACTAGGAGACTCAATTTAAAATAATGGGTCTCTCAGTTGAGGCAGAAATGAGATTTTTTTTTTCTTTTAGAGAGACATATGGAATTCTTGCCTCCCAAGAGAGCAATGGATGAAGGGTCATTAAATACTTTAAGGCAGAGTTGGATAGATTCTTGGTTAGCAAGGGAGTTATCAGATACAGAAAGTAGAGTTGAGGCCACAATCATTTCAGCCATGATCTTTTGAAATGGCGGAGCAGGCTTCAGGAAATGAATGGCTTACTCTTACTTCTAATTTGCATCTTAAAACTCAAACTCAGCAAGGGCATTTGAACCTAGTGCTGGAGCCATAACTTATTTTTTGTTTTTTTTGTTTCACTTCTGAAAAGATGATAAACTTCAATTCATCTGTCTTTTAGCGATACTTAAGTTTTGTACAAGCAAGCAATTATTTATTAAAATTTATTGTTTATGATCCATAAAATAGAGGATTAAATTCTGACATACACGTGGATCTTGTTAGTGTGTTTAATTCATTAGTATTTTAAAATATTGTATAGTATTCATTCAAAATTAATGTGCGTGGTGTTACATGGAAAGGCTTTTTACAACTTATACTACTAATTTGGCCAAAGCTGGTGCAACTTGCTAATTTTTTACCCGCTGAGACAGCCATCTTACCATCTGATGGGTCTTAGCTGTGAATATTAATCTACCCATTTAAGGAAAATACGGGCGTGACAGTGTTACATGCAACATTCTTAATAATTTTTATCATTGTCCTATACTCCTGCATCTAGATGTCACATGCTCGTCATCTGCCTTTACATGCCCCAATCATGAGTGCATTCCAAATTATTGGAGATGTGACGGACAAGATGACTGCTCAGATGGGAGTGATGAAAAGGGATGCCCAACCTATGATCCCAGAACTTGCGCTGCAAATTATTTTACCTGCAATAATTCCCGGTGTATTCCTAAAAGATGGTTATGTGACACAGATAATGACTGTGGAGATGGCTCCGATGAGTTTAAGTGCGGTATGTATTATATTTTATTCTGAGTTTAATTTTTGCTGGGTGGATTTTTTTTAATTGAAGTCACCTATTTATCAGTTATAACCTGATATGATATTACAACTCTTTATTTTAATTGCTTATCCAATTTTAGATTTCTGATGGATATTTGGTTACATTAGCAGAAGCAGTTTGATTAAATTAGAGTTTCTGCAAACACTATTTCTATTTGTGGCTTCTATTTCTGAGAAAAATGGTAACTCTGAAGTCTCAAAAGCATCCTCTGTAGTCTTGCTGGAGCTCTGTACAGATTTTTCCTGTAGATCTCTTCTAGTAGACAGTGATCATCGCCACTAACAATTTTCTTCCATGGATATATGTATGGAATTTCTCACAATACACAAGTGCTAAAAACTCTTTCTGCATTGGTCTCAGCTGATGTTAGAGCTTTGGACCACTTTTCATTTTTTCTTTTTACTTACTGTTGTCCAGAGCTTGGACAGCATCAGTGGCAGCAAGGAACCCAGTGCGGGCTCGAGTGGACCCAGCATGGGCTCTAGTGGGCCCAGGGTGGACCTTGTGGCAGCAGCAAGTGAGCCCCTACTTCTGGTGAATACAGGACCTGGCGTTGGAATCGGCGGCTGCTACATCTGTAGAGGTGGTGTCGACAAGGTAGGCCCAGCTGTGGAAGATGGCATCTGAGGATCAACAACTTCATCGTTGGTGGGTCCAGCACTGGTGGGAGCGAAGCGGTGGTGGAAGGACATCACAGTAACATCGATGTGGTGGGTCCAGCGGCGAGGGATGCGACTCTGACATATGTGGGTCTGACACAGGAGGCAACGAGGCAGTGGCGGAGGAGAATCGGCCCAGTGGCGAAAGATGGCACCTGAAGAGCGGCCACTTCAGCATTGGTTGGGTCCAATGTAAATGGCAGTGAGGCGGTGGAAGAGGGAGGGCAGCATGGGCATCATTGATGATGAGCTGGCTCAGGACTGACGGACTCTCTTCAAGCCATATCTTTTTATTTTATTCTTATTCTTACGCTGTACAAAATGGCGACAGATCGTGGCGACAGTGGAAAAGCTTTTCACTATATTTTACTGTTTTTCTCACTTTCAAATACACGTGACAATAAAATCATTCATTCACTCATTCACGTCTATGACAAGAAAGTGACAGAATGTGCAGTTGCAGATACTTTTCGAAGTCTGAACATGAGGGCAGAGAAAAGAAGGACTTGTTTGCATTTTAACTTTACTATACTTGACCTGGGAATGCTAATGGTCACACAGTCCCACTTTCCAATATTAATCTGCTCCATCTTGATACATACACAGTTCTTGTTAAGAAATTTATCTGGACTACCAACAAATCTCTGAAAGTGCTATTATACAAAGCAAAACATAGATCACCACGAGACTTCAATCCACTATGCTCTTGATAATTTAGTTAGTGATTTTGAAGTTGCATTTTTATTTTTTTCTTTTTCCTTCTTTTTTTCTTTTTGCCTTGTATACCCAGCAATCCACTTACACACAACCAAACATTTCTTTCCTCCTTCACTAAATCAATGTGGTATTTTTTTCATGTATTAACCACCACCGGTATCAAATTGTGTTTGAAAGCTGAAGCCGGGATGAGCTAACTGATGGGGTGATAATTGGTTACATTGGATTTGCCCTTCTTTTGCTACACAGGGCATATCTGGGCAGTTTTCCACTTTGTCAGGTAGATGGAAGTCACATCAATGAAACATCCTGGTTAGAGGTGTGACTAGTTCTGGAACATTCCTTCAGCACTTCAACCTGTGTTGTTGTGGCTGATTATCTTTGCTGAGTTCATAGCACCTACCTGTTTCTTGCTCTCACATTGTGTGAATCAAATGAATTAATGAATTAGCTGACATCTGTGATGGGGGAACTGCAGGACCATGGGAGGAGGTCAGGATGGGTCCTTGTGTTTTGCTGAACTTTCTACCGTTATAATACTACCAAGCTTAGGAAAAACAATATTGGAGATAAAATTGATCTTCTCAGTACGGCTTCATAGTGAAGGGATAGTTTGCAGCATATACTTTTATTTCATTGATTCAAAATTAGGGGTGGTCAAAATTTTCACATAGTCTTGGTGGGAGAGGGGATGGTGGTGAGCAAATTTCAGAAAGATAAGGTTTCTATCACAGTAAACATTAACTTCATCAAAAAATCTAAAGCAATAAATTGGTAATTTAAATTAGTAATTATTGTAAGGGATAATTGAAATGTCCCAAGCAGCAAAGCTTAATAATTAAGCCAATTTTTGCTTTCTTGGTTAAGAAGCAGAGCTTGAGAGAGATAAAGAATCAGTCCCAATTCAGACTCACCAGGGGTGGCAATGGGGCTGAGCTAAGCAGTTATAGTTAACTAACAATAGTTTTCGGTCATCTAGGAGCACAGGTACAGGAGTAGGCCATTTAGTCCTTTTGAGCCTGTTCTGCCAATCAATGAGATCATGGCTGATCTATGGCCTAACTCCATATACCTGTGTTTGGCCCATGTCCCTTAATACCTTGGCTTAACAAAAAAATTATCTGTCAGATTTAAACTTAACACCTGATCCAGCATCTGCTGAAGAGGGATCAAAACATCTACCACCCTTTGTGTGCAGAAGTGCTTCCTAATACTGTTCCGGAACAATCTGGCCCTAGTTCTCAGACTGTGCCCCTTAATTCTAGAGTCTCTAGCCAGTGGAAATAGTTTATTTATCTTGCCTATCTTTTCCTGTTAATATCTTGAAGACTTCAATCAGATCATCCCTTAACTTTCTAAATTCTGGAGAAAACAGGCCTAATTTATATAATCTCTCTTCATAACTTACCCCCTGAAGTCCATTCTTGTAAACCTACATTATACTCCCTGCAAGGCCAGTATATCCTTCCTAAGATATGGGGCCAGATCTCCTCCCTCCAAGTGAGGTCTAACCAGGGTTTTGTATAACTGCACCATACCTTCTGCATCTGTATACTCCAGTCCACGAGATATAAAGGCCAGCATTTCACTTGTTCTTGATATCATAAAGATCTATTTACCTGAACCCTAGGGTTTTGTGCTCCAATAACTTCCACAGCATTTTATTTCACCAGCAAACATTGTTGAAAGTGGCCATGTCTTTCTTTTTTTATTTCTGGAGAGACTTAACTGTAATTTGGTAAAGAACAATTTTATTTTTCAGAAAGGAAAGAAAAGAATTAGTAGGAGTGACTGAATGACCTGACTATCATTCTACCTCTCTCCGTCATAACTGACTTGTAGTTTACATCCGCCATCCAACTCTCAATGCCTCCTTCCTTTGGTACAACTCTCATCTCCTTCTCCTCCTCCCCAAGTCACAGTCTCCTTGAAAGCCTCCTATTCCTAGACCCGTAGACTCACTACCCGGGCTCCAGTGCTTAGGCAGCTCGCTGCTCCTCCAAACACAGACTGGATCTCTTCCTTACTTGTTTCATTCATTCATGGGATGAGGATCTTTCCTATTCATGAAAGTACAACTAGGACTTCGCTTATCTGTTAATTATTCTGATATATCAGTTTTAATTACTGCAGTCATTAATTTATTTTCATTTGGTTTAACACATTAGGTGCATAATGTAGGTTTGATCACCCACAAATTCACAATAGCAGCTAAATAAAATGTTATCTTAATTAGGAATTTAAGGCCTTTCTTTGTCTTTTCTAAAATAAAGATTTCACAAGTACCTGCCAACCTGAGCAATTTTTGTGCCCAGAACATCGGTGCATTGACCCTGCTTATATATGTGATGGTGATGAAGACTGTCTGGATGGATTGGATGAACAAGGCTGTGGTAAGTGAAGAAAGAGGGTGAAGGCAACAATCGGAGGCAATTTACCTTTTTGAACAATGGGTTCAGATTCATAAACTAAAATTGATTTCTTCACAGTGTACAACTGCACTTCCAATGAATTTAAATGTGCAAGTGGAGGACAGTGCATCAGCAACTTCTACCACTGTGATGGAGTTTTTGATTGCAGTGATCATTCTGATGAGGCAGGATGCCGTATGTATACCAATTTAGAGTGCATTAATTGTTGCTTTTTTAAAAAAAATTCTGCTTCCTTGCTGCTAAAGTATGCTTTGAGAGTGTTATTGGTGCTGCTGAAGTTTTTAGAGACAGGATAATTATATGCCCTCCTGACTTAATTTACACTGTAACGTAGGGCTTGCATCAATTGTATCAACCAACCTATGACCAATGCATGTTCACTTGCCTTCTCTAACCTCTGAATTTATTTAATAAGCAACAGAGAAAGAGCCAGTAACTTTTGCTGTCTTATATTTGCATGGAATTTACCCCAGCCATTTTATATTAGGTTAAGCCTCTGTCACTTGGTGACCTTGTTCAATAATAAGTTATTGGTTTGCAAAGTATTAATTGGCACAAGGGGTTACTTTAAATCACCTTGATAAAACTCTGATTGCTCGATTATAACCTTTTTTTGTAGCCACTCGACCGCCAGGTATGTGCCACCAAAATGAATTTCAGTGTCAAGATGACGGTGCCTGTATTCCATTAAATTGGGAATGTGATGGTTATGCAGATTGTACCGATGGATCAGATGAACATCTTAGCTGTTCACCAAAGAATTGCTCTGCCAGCTATTTTCAGTGTGATAATGGAAATTGTGTCTTCAGAGGCTGGCTGTGTGATGGTGATAATGACTGTAGAGACATGAGTGATGAAAGAGACTGCCCAACACAGCCATTTCATTGTCCCAGTAACCAGTGGCAGTGTCCAGGTCTCAGTACCTGCCTGCCTTTGGATAAGGTGTGCGACCGTACTCCAGACTGCCCAAATGGTGCAGATGAATCTCCACTGTGCAGTAAGTAAATTATTTTTAATGTTTTAAATATTCTTTCTAATTAACTCATGGTCCAGGTTGGGAACAAATATAACCCAGTGCATTCTCCAAGTCAACATCTCTACCCTTACTAACCACTTAGCACTATCTTCTCATACAGTATGAAATAATGTTTCCCCTTTACATTTGTTTTGTTGTGAATGTCCTGATGAGCAAAAGATCAACTTTTCTTCAGCAATATTTAATAACTACATTGAAAGACAATTTATTTTGAGTAGATCATGCTAATCATTTGTTTGCAATAATACATAAAAACATGGAGATTTTATTAATAAATGAATAATATTGCATTAAATTTATTTTTGCATTTGTTCGTGTTGTTAACTAGATACAGAGAGCTGCAATGAAAATAATGCAGGTTGTACACATGGATGCATTGAGGGGCCCTTTGGTGCACAATGCACTTGCCCAAGTGGCTATCAGCTTACAAATGATTCCAAGACCTGTGAAGATATTAATGAATGTAATCCACCAGGCATTTGTAGCCAAATATGTTACAATGAAATGGGATCTTTCAGGTGCATCTGTGATGATGGTTATACTTTAGAAGTAGATGACAGGACTTGCAAAGCTTCAGGTAAATCTTGTTGTACTTTACTGTATTTAACAAAATAGATTTCATTTAGACCAATTGCCATATTGTAGTGCAACTATGCATCTGCATGCTAATATTGTAACCTAAAGAACTCAATGTTGTGGTTGTTAGAACTTACAGTAATATATCAGCATCATTTGGCATTGTAGAATAGGGTGTGGACGTTCTATCTGAATGAAGTAAGGATGTTGTTTGTGTCTACAGATTGTGACCAGACCATTTTCACATGGCTATAGGCCATGAATACAAAGACTCTCTGTTGTAATATTGGGCAGTCATTAAGCATATAATGATAGACAAGTACTTTAGTGAACTTAAAATGTTTCTGGTCCCGAATGAACCTGTGCATTTCTGCACAGTGAGCATTATTGGGATATTCCTGTGGTAATCTTCCTACAATTTAAATTAAGTTGTTAGAATGCCAAACTCTGCCCAGGATTAATGCCCATTAGTGCCAAGCAGCATCTACTAATCTGTTAATGGGCAGGTGCTTTTTTTCCCCAACTTCTTATTGATGCTGCTACTGACCTGAAAAAAAAATCTTTAGCACGGACATTGCTGAAAAGTTTGCAGTTTACCTTTTAAACACACCTTTATCAAGTTTGTCAATCATCTAAGCTAGACTTCATGAAAAGGAGTTCACAGAGAGGAAGTGATAAAGTGTGAAAGAATGGATGAGGAAGTGAGTATTTTGACAGATGCTGAGTGAGTAAGAGTGAGTGATTGAGACATAGTGTAAATAACTGAGTGTTGTATGACATCAATGCTTGCTCAGAAACTAGTCATCCTACACTCCCCTTCCCTTCACTCTCACAACTCTGAGGGGTTCTAAAAGCTTTCAGCCCTCCAGCTCTTTTTATTTTTTAATCAACTTGATCAGAAATATTATGACACACCTCTGTAGCAGGTGGGACTTGAACCTGGGCCTCTTGGTCCAGATGCAGTGACACTACTACTGCACAACAAGAATTCATATGCCATTAAGTAGATGGTATGTCTTAATCATCTGTTTATTGTAAGGCCACAAAGACCCCTTCCTTGTCAAGGCGAGTGCTAACCTTCTCTTCTTTCATGTAATACAATCCTCTACACTGGGTCACAGGCAGGTAAAATTCAGGAGGCACTGCTCTAAGCTACAGGAAGATGGGACTTCACCATACATTTCATGAACTTTGTATTTGCTGAATCATAGGCCTCCAAACTTAATCTATTTAAGTTTATTTTCCTCTATTTGATTAACTCCAATAATGGGAATAATGTCATTGTTTTTGTACGGCAAATGATAATTACCCATGGAATGGAAGAATGAATACTTGATTTAGTTCTATCAGTGTTTAACCTGACTTAGTAGGATTTAGAGTCAAATATTCGGTGAGAGGAGCATTTTTGTGTCAGTATAAAGATGTAGCTGATCCAGTCCTCTGCTGTAGTTCCTGCTGTAAAGCAAGGAGTCCTTAATTTATTTTGCATTGGAGGCATCAGCACTTCTTGGGGCTCATCTCGATTTTCCACTTTCCTTTTTATCCTGGAATTGGTTGTGGTGAGCAGACAGAGTTAGTTCACAATGAACAACTGCCAGAACAGTTCCAGAATTTTAAATGCTTGATTTTTATTTATTTTGCTCATGATGTTTATCCTGTTCAATGCATGAATGCTGATGTAAGCCAGATCTGTCTTGAGTGAGTCATGCTGGTCCTATTGCAAAGATATTCCAAGTGTGCACATCTTAGAGTTTACCACCCTCAGAATTTACAGCCTGGATTATAACTCCTGGCTTTGTTATAATTGAGATATTAAATTCTGATTCCACATTTTTGGACAGCTCCAATCTAAACTCGGATGTTAGGCATATTTCAGATCAAACCTTTTGCAGTGTGAAAATAGATGACAGGAAATGCTTTGCTTGTATTGGGTTTGGAAAAAAACACTTTGGGCGGACTATAGATTTGGTTGTGAACAATTTGGGATGACATTAAAATTGGTGTCATTCCAATTTTTCCACTATACCTGGTCAGCCTTGGCCAGGATATTAAGCAAGTGGTTTTGCTGTGTACATCGTGTTCCTGAAATAGATTATCCCAGAGCGAGATGAAAAGGGAGACATAAAGATTTAGGGAAAGAGCAGTGACTTTTTTTGGGTTTTGCATTAAAGAATAGGATGTTGTGGTCTGAAAAACCCTGAAAGAGGATTCTTGATGATTTGGAAACTGGAACCAATGATTCTGTGGAAGATGAATGAAAGTGAGAAAGAAAGACGGCATGGTGTAGAAGAGTGCAGTTCAGATTTCTGTCAGATGAATGCCAAATAAATATATCCAAGGTCACAGTGATGAGTTGATTTTAGCATTCTTCCATTAGTTTAGTTACAGTGGGCATGTCAGTATAAAATATTGGAAACTCGAAACTTTTTGCTTGCATACAATTTCTTTTTAAGACTTCTGAACTTAAACCAGTTAACCAAACACATTTTAATATTTCTGTGATGTGCATTTCAGCACTTTTTGCCATCTTGTCTTCCTTCCCTATCCCTGACTTTGAGAGTAGTCTGCACACTTAATTGCCTAGCATCCTGTGTTACAATTCAATTGCTCTAGCATTGATGTTATCATTACTACTTTTCAGTGGGGCTGTTTCCTTTGTTAAATCAGTAGAATTGATATCTGTTTTTCTGTCTAGATTCAACCAATGTTCTAATAATGGTGGCAAGCCGTGATCAGATAGTTTCTGACAACATTAGTGCTCATCCACATGTCATTCAGAGTGTTGTCCGAGATGGGAGAAATATTGTTGCAATTGACTTTGATTCAATAACTGGTCGAATTTATTGGTCAGATGTAAGTCAGGACAAAGTTTGGAGTGCTTTTGAAAATGGAACAGATCAAAAAATTGTACGTATTTTTTTATTTTTCCTATCAAGCATTGCATTAGATGTGGTCCGTTGCTCTATATGTTACTGTAACATATACCAATACTGAACAATGGAGACAAAACTGGAAAAAAATATATTTCTGTATTAATTCTGTGCAAGAACTGGGCAGATGGTCAAGTCAGAAAAATGCTATTTCAGTGACTAAAATTCATTAAGATTGTGTAGCCACAAATATTTTATTTTAAGCTCTACAATCTTAAAACTTGTCTGGAAAGCATAATTTCAGAATTTAAAATGTATAATATCAGGCTACTTTTTACTGTGGGTTACACTTTGCTGCATTATCACTGATGATCCAACTATGCCAACAGGTATTTGACAGTGGAGTGACTGTCACAGAAAGCATTGCTGTGGATTGGGTAGGCCGTAATCTCTACTGGGTAGACTACGTTCTTCAAACAATTGAGGTTTCAAAGCTGGATGGCAGCCACAGAAGCGTGTTACTCAGTGATAATATAACAAATCCCAGAGGATTGGTGTTGGATCCACGAAATAAGTAAGACAAAAGCAGACTTTTTTTTATGGACTTGTCTATTAGGAAAAACGGTTATACAAATATATGAAATAGGAGTGGGCCATTCAGCCCCTCAATCTGCTCTGCCATTCAATAAAAATTGGCTCATTAGTTTGTGTTTCTATTTCCCCATTCCCATCTACCTTAATAACCGTTGATTCCCCTGCCTAACAAGAATCAACATACACCTCTTTTTAAAAGATATTCAATCATACCTCTTTTATCACCTTCTGAGTAAGAGTTTCAAAGTAGAGCAATTCTCTGAGAGAAAAAGGATCAGAAATGGCTGGAGAGCAGGTTTGGAGAGCAGTATCTGTGCAGAGTCAATGTTTCAGGTTCAGTGATGCTTCTTCAGAATCCTCTAAAAGGAACAGTTTCTCCTTGTCTCTGTCCCAAAAGAGTGAGCCCTAATTTTAACACACTGACCACAGTTCTGAACTTACCCACAAGAAGAAACATACTTTTTGTGTGCGTCTTGTAGGGACAATTCAGGATCTTGTACACTTCAATTAAGTCACCTCTCACTCTTCTAAGCTTCTGTGGAAATGAGCCATTCCTGTTCCATCTATCCTCATAAGACAAATCACTCATTCTAGGTTTCAATTTTTCATAAACCTCCTCTGAACTGCCTCCAATGGATTTACATCCCTCCTTAAATAATGATACCAAGACTGTGCACAGTGTTTGAGGTATGGCCTCACCAATGCCATGTATAACTGAAGCCTAACATCCTTACTGTTAAGTTCAGTTCCTCTCGTAATAAAGAATAGCATCCCATTAGCCTTCTTGGTTATTTGTGAAACTTGCACTCTAACTTTTTGTGACTCATGCACAAGAGCACCCAAATCTGACTGCACCTTCAAATTCCACAATTGTTTGCCATTTAAGTAATATTCTGCTTTCTGATTCTTCCTGCCAGAACGAACAAGTTTACATTTTCCCATGTTATACTTCATCTGCCAGATATTTGTCCACTCACTCAAACTATCTATATTCATCTAAAAACTTCTTATGTCTTATTTACAACATACGTTCTTACCTATCATTCTGTCAACTGTAAATTTTATTCGCATGCTTTTGCTACCCTCTTCTAAGTCATTGATGTAAAATGCAAAAAATTAAGGCCCAGCACAGACCCCTGCAGGATTCTGTTTGTCACATCCTGTCAATCTGACAAAGACCCATTTATACATAATTTCTATTTTCTGCCAGTCAGCCAGCCAATCCTCTGTCTGTACTAACATATTACCCGACTACAGTGCAACCTTTTATTTTCTGCAATAATATTTAATGTGGCATCTTATCAAATGCCTATGGAAATCCAAGTTCAGTACAGTTATTGGCTCCCCTTTATCAACAGTACATGCTATTCCTTCAAAGAAGTTTAATAAATTTAGTTAAACATTATTTCCTTTTCATAAAACTGTGCTGACTCTCTCTGATTAGCTTGAGGTTTTCTAAGTCTCCAACTATAGCCTCTTTAATGATTAATTCTAATATCTTCTCCATGACAGACGTCAACGTAACTGGCCCATGGTTTTGTAAATTCTGCCTCCTTCCTTTGAATAGACAGGTTACATTTGATGCTTTCCAGTCTGATGAAACCTTTCCTAAATCAGGAGAATTTTGGAAAATTAGCAACAATGCATCTACAACGTCATTAGCTACCTCTTTAAAGACCTTGGCATCTAACCTTATCAGCCCACACTCTACAGTTTGCTTAGTACTGCTGCCCTATTGCTTATAATTACACTAAGTTCCTATGTCTCTTCCATTTTCATCTATTACTGTAATGCTTTTGTCTCCTCTACAGTGATGACAGAAGTAAAGTATTTGTTCATTTCATCTGCTATCACTTTATTATCTAATACTAATGCCTCAATTTAACCCTCAGGAAGACAAACAATCATTTTAGTTATTTTTCCTTTTTAAGTAACAGTGGAAACTCCTGCTGCCCATTTTTAAGTTTGTCGCTAACTTCCTCTCATATTCTAATTGCTTCCTCCTGATCAATCACTTAGTTATTCTCAGCCATTATTTGGCACTCATCTTTGCATAATATTAGTTTTTTCCTTAAGTTTGATGCTTTCCCTAACTTCTTTGGTTAACCACGTATGGTGAGTCCTCCCCTTGAAAATTTTGAGTTGTAGGAATACATTTGTTCTGAATATTCTGAAATATTCCCCAAAATGTCTGCCACTCTGTTAGTATTAATCTATCCCCTAGCCTACAGTGCCTGTTTACTTCTGCTAGCTCAGCTTTCACGCTGACATAAGTTGCCCTTATTTAAGTTCAAAATACTAGCCTTAGACCCACCCTTCTCCCTTTCAAACTGGATGTAAAATTCAATCTTTTGTGGTCTTTGCTCACAGAGGTACCTTTACATTGAGGTCTTGACTTAATCCTGTCACATTACACAATAGCAAACCTTACATAATATACTCCTAGTTGGTTCTAAAACATTTTGCTCTAAGAAACTAACTCCAAAAATTGGCTAATGGGCTAGAAACAGCAAGTGGGGTTACGGAGTTCTTTTTCAGGTTGGCAACCTGCAACCAGTGGGGTTCCACAGGGATCGGTGCTGGAAGGGCAACTCTTTACAATATACCTTAGAGGAAGGAAATGAATGTAATGTAGCCAGATTTGCAGTTAATGCAAAAATAGGTGAAAAGGCAAGTTGTAAGAGGGATACAAACAGTTTACAGAGAGATATTGATGGGTTAAGTAAGTGGGCAAAAAATTGGCAAATGGGAAGATGTGGGAAATGTCAAGTTGTTCATTTTGGAAGGGAGAAGAAATAAGCAGGATATCATTTACATGAAGCAAAACAGAAATCCTCAACACAAAGGGACTTATGGGTCCTTGTGCACAAAACACAGATAACACACAGGTATAACAGGTAATCAGAAAGGATAATTTAGTTATAAGGAATGTAGTGGCTATTTATATCTATAATCCAGACTGTCCAAGATGAGGCTGTGTGAGAAACCATCAAGATAGCAATCAGGTTCAAAAATTGTTGATGTAGGCTGGGGAAGGTGGGGTTTGGCGTTCACAAATAATTCCCTGTTTTGATTTTTAAACTAATTCTGTCAATTTGACTTTACTTTGTAGTACTCATCTAATGTTCTGGACAGACTGGGGAAAAAACCCACGAATTGAAAAGGCCAGTATGGATGGCACCTTGCGAACTATCTTAATAAGTCACAAAATCTTCTGGCCGAATGGATTAAGTATTGATTATCCAACCAGACTACTTTATTTTGCTGATGCATATTTGGATTATATTGAATATTGTGATTACTTTGGGAACAACAGGAGACAGATTTTAGCTAGTGACTTGGTAAGTAAATGAAGTACTATTTACCAGTTACTTAGAAATTAGATGTACCTCTTTGAAATTTATGTATTTGATATAAAACACTCAGTAATTGCACATCACGTTGTAGGTCCTGCAACATCCACATGCCATAACTATTTTTGAGGATTATGTGTATTGGACTGAACGACGATCTAATCATGTTGTCAGAGTAAATAAGTGGCATGGAAAGAATCAGACTGTGATGATCAGAAATTTAATTGAGCCACTCGGAATAGTTGCTGTTCATTCTGTCAGGCAGCCACCCGGTAGGTCAAAAAAAATATTAATTCTTGTCTAACAAACTCAATGAAATTTTGTATTTTTTATGTCATATCATGACATTTAGTAGTACTTTAGGATGATAGGAATTGTGCAATACACTTGACATGTCCTAGACCAGATATAAAAAAGCAATTCTATTAAATGTCAAGTCAGCCAAGACTTCATTCGTGTAAATAATATCTCCCTGGAGCTCTTAACCTCACTGAAACTTACTAGTTGGGATGCTTTGGGCTAACGAGGGTCTCATCCACCAGTCAGAGAATGAATGAAGAAACTTGGTAGTTCCATGGTCGAGATCCAGTGGAATCAAATGCACTTCAGACACTGTTGGGCCTTCCCTGAGATTAAGGTCCCCAGAGACAGAAGTGCTACCCATTGAGGGCTGCCAACCAGTCTGAGGCTGGGCAGCTTGCGATTGCTGGCATTGCCAGTGGGAACATTGGCTCCTGGAAGCACTGCATTTCCCTTGGGCTCACAAACACCCAACCCACCCACAAGATTCTGAAGGGACTCCATGGGGCAAGATCAGGGGATGACTTCCAGCAGTGGGGACAGAGTGTCAAGATAACAAGGAGTGCTCCTGGCAATCTACCTTCTGAGGGTATAAGAGACATTCATGCAGTCTCCATTTACTCTGTGCACCATTACAAGTTGCAGTGAACTTGTTGTCAACTAGCCCACTGAGAAGACAAATTCACATTCTGCTGGCGATGGCTGGGAATCCCTAATCAATCCCTTCCACCATCTGACATAATTGGGAGAGGTTTTCCCACTGATGGGAGACTGATGCAAGGCCTGCTACGCGCTGCATAGAATCCAGCTCAGTTGCTCATGACTCCTAAATAAAGATGATCTTGTGGAGTTAAAAGTTAATATTGCAAAAGATAAAACATATTCCAATCACTTCCTATCGTATGATGACAATAATATTTTCCCCAACTCTGCCTTCCATTACCAGATTACTATCATAAACTGCATTGCGTTTTCTTAATGCTACTTTTGCACTAATATTACATTAGTGCTGACTGCATGTGTATTCGGAGAATCAAACTCCAGTTGTAAATTTGACTGATGCCTGTGATATCTACAGCAATGTTATGGATATTTGTTTTGCATCCCAGCTTGGAATCCATGTTTGTCCAATCCTTGCAGCCACTTATGTCTGCTCTCTGCATCGGCTCCTAGATTCTATTCATGTGTCTGCCCCTCAGGCTGGAACCTAATGGCTGATTTAAAACACTGCGCTAAAGGTAGGACAGAGTTACAGTCTATACCTTACTAAAAAAGCTACAATAATGTTGACTTTCACATCTAGTTAGGACATATAGAGGCAACTATAAAGATCTCTGAACTGTATAAAGTAACAAAATAATTCCAAGGCACATTTGATTGGGAAGAATGGTCTGATGACTTTTACCTGGGGAAGGTTTTGTATTTAAAGTTACAAAGGAATGGGCAGAATATAGTGACTGTAACAAGGTCAGCCAGGTGGACCTCATAGAATATGAGTTCACTGATTGGGGCTGTTAATCTGGTTCAACCAGGGAGCCCTGGCTGACAAATAAAAACAGGAGTGTCAGAGGCTCTGCTCACTCTGAGAGCTGGTTCTGAGGGAGCTGGATCAGTGCCAATAACTCTCCAAATATAAATAATGGGTGACTTGGTAATGGAATACTGGCTTCTGTGGAGTTATTTCACAAACCATAGTAGGAAATTCAACACTCTTCATTAATTGAATTCCCATATACAAATGAATACAAGGAAAGTAGTATAAAAATGAACTTTGGTTTGCTATTTTTGGGAAGTACATCGAATTTGTTCCACCTACTTCTTGTGCTACAGGTTCGGGCTTCTTTAACTCTGGAAGAAAATTTTGTTCTCGACCTTATAAATTAATCGAATTGGAAGGATATGAATGCTTTCTTCTGAAGAAATTGAATTTCAAAATGCTTTCAGAAAACATCCCTAGGCTTTTTGCAATAAGACATTAACATTTATGCCCAGTAGTTCAATTGTCCATTTTTGGACTCAACTGCTTAAAATTGTGTTCTCTTAAATAATGTCAACTCTGTGAAGGCCAAGATTTTACTTTGGCTTTTACTGTCATTTTTATTCTTTATTGGCGCTCATCTAGAATGGAGAAGTCTTACAGAGTATTGAAGTAATGTGCTCACTTTTACAACTGTATTAGGTAGGATTTGTCTTCTGGACATTATTTTCAAATCCTTAGGAGAAGGTTATGCAAAGAGGTACTAAAATGTTTTCATTCCTCTCATTGCCATAGTTTTAGTGATGCTCCAATTACATTCTCAGGACAATTGCTCAAATTAACAAATACTGAAAATTTATTTGTTCTTGAAACGTTTAGAATGATTACTTAATTGATATTTTTGCTCCTTAGTAGCAGTTTGATAACGTAATCCCTGTTGAAAATGTAAACTATTTGCTGCCAGCAGTGATTTTCAGCAGAAAGTTTATTTTATCTTGGCTCACCCAAAGCTTTAATAATACAACTGTGTCAGATACAAATATGCAGGAGCACATAAAATACAACATACTCATCTTGATATGTTTCACATTCTGTGCTATCTCACATTTGATTTAAACTCAGGTTGGTAAATGTTCATTCGAGGCAGCATTATCAGCTGATATGAGAAGTCATGTACAATGAGTTCATGTACAACGAGTTCATGATCAAAGGCTTCATTTTCATAAGATTGCTTCCTGTCTGTTGTGGATTAGAAATGATGTGCAGATGCTGATTTTGGACTGGGGTGGACAAAGTCAAAAGTCACATGGCACCAGGCTACAGTCCAACAGGTTTACTTGAAATCACAAGCTTTCAGAGTGCTGCTCCTTTGTCAGGTGAAGTCAGTTCACCTGATAAAGGAGCAGTGGTCCTAAAGCTTGTGAATACAAATAAACCTGTTGGACTGTAGCCTGGTGCCATGTGACTTCTGACTGTGGATTAGAAAGTCTAAGTTTTAAATGAACCATCCAGATAGTTTTAAAATGCCATGATTTCTGTAATTCCTGTAATTCTGTAAGCAAACCATTTCCTGTAATGTGCCTATACTGCCATTTGGTCTTTAAAAAGTACAATGATCACTTTTTTCTAAGATTCGTTACACTTCATCTCGAATGATATCTGCTATTACAAGAAAGTATACAGCTCACTGGGGTTGGATTCTTTGTTTAATTTAATGGTGGTAGGAGAACACATTTTGAAACTGTGAGGAGGAGGCCGGAAAATGAAGGACTTTTTGTTTAGAAAGCAAGATCAGATCAGATCTGTGTACATGGGCAACAAGAAAGGTTAGGAACAAGACCAGTATATTATCTTCCTGTCTGTTGTTTTTCAACCCTTCCATTGGCTAAAATGATCATGTTGGACAATTTTAATGTTATTTGTAGTTTTTGTCCAAAACACATTTTTTTACCGAATTAAGATTACAGATTTGCCCAAATTGCTCAAATTTGCTGAATTAAAGCTGACTTTTGATCAGAGCTTAATTTTTCTAACACTGCATTATGACCAATAAACAATATGAGCATAGTATAGGACTCCATAGAAGGGCCATTTAACTCAAAAGTGTTAATTCTATTCCTCTCCTCTGCCAGACCTGCTGAGTTTCTCCAACACTTTCTCCTTTTATTTCAAATTTCCAGCTACTACAGTATTTAGCTTTTGTTTTATAAACACAATTGTGTATGACTGTGAAAACAGCATTGCATCTACCTGGCCAACCCCAGTTTGTTTAGCCCAAATGGATTACATGAGCAGAATACCTCTGTTGTAACATTTCTCTTCAAGCAGAAACTTAGATTATAAGATTTTGAAATTTACTCAAGAATTTATAATAATCTTCTTTCACCATTCCCAGTTGAACAACCTTTCCTAATTGTTGTGCGAAACAGCATCATCTTTGGCATTTCTCTGGATCCTAATGACAAAACTAGTGATGCCATAGTTCCTGTAGCTGGAGTTCAAAATGGCTATGATGTTGACTTTGATGAAGAAGAGGTGCTGTATTGGGTAGAATATCCAGTAAGTACAAATAGTTTTCTCAAGAATAACTGCTGTAGCAATCAACATCCAATTGTCATCACTTTCCAATTATGTGCTTTTTAAAATGCTCCTTGTTCGACTGATCTGAATTTTCTTCGTATCTGCTACACACTTTATGCTGCTGAGTTAGATGAGACTTATTCAATAATCAACACTCTAGGATGCTTCAGTAAAATGACCATTCTCGTCCGTTAGTTTATTCCCTCTATATTGCCAGAATCAGTAACTCATCAAAACAGGTTTTACCAATGTACTTACCACTGACTTTTAAATACAGGAAAATATAAAGTATGAATCAAAAATCTAAAAATTAAAAACTCAAGTTCAAGCACATTTAAAGATGGAAAAATAGAAAATTCCCATGTGGCATAACATCTCTGGTATTATCAAGATATCAAGAGCTAGGTCATTCTTTAACATGGGTAATTTGATAGTAGTAAAAAGAAAACATCCAGAAATGTGTAACAGCATCACTGAGCAGAAAACAAAAACTGTGTTCTTCCCTCCAACTCCATTTTAAATTAAAACTCACTCTTAACCTACCCTTCCCTTTTATTATTGTCGCAGTTGGTGGGCAGTTCTTGTTAATTTTCAATTTTTTTGATTAACTTATATTTCTAATCAACCTATTTCGAGATGTTATTACACACCTCTGGAATAGGTGGGTCTTGAACCTGGGTCTCTTTTTCTAGGGGTAGGGACAAGGCCACAGACAGGGTGATTAAGAAAGTGTTTAGCACACTTGCCTTCATTGCTCAGACCTTTGAGTATAGAAGTTGGGACATCATATTGAGGTTGTACAGGACATTGGTGAGGTCTCTTCTGGAGTACTGTGTGCAGGTCTGGTTGCCTTGCTATAAGAAGGATATTATTAAATTGGAAGAGGGTTCAAAAAAGATTTATCAGGATATTGCTGGGAATGAAAGGTTTGAGTTATAAGAAGAGGCTGGTTAGGCTAGGACATTTTTCACCGGAGCTCAGGAGGTTGAGGAATGACCTTATAGATGTTTATAAATTCCTGAGGGGCATAGATAAGGTGAATAGGAAGGGTCTTTTCCCGAGGGTGGAAGAGTTCAAAACTAGGGGGTGTATTTTTAAGAGGTAGTAGGAACTGCAGATGCTGGAGAATCCGAGACAACAAGGTGCAGGGCTGGATGAACACAGCAGGCCAAGCAGCATCATAGGAGCAGAAAGGCTGACGTTTCGGGCCTAGACCCTTCATCAGAAAAGGGGGAGGGGAAGGGGGTTCTGAAATAAATAGGGAGAGAGTGGGAGGCGGATAGAAGAGGGATAGAGGAGAGGAAACAAACAGGTCGAAGAGGCGGGGATGGAGCCAGTAAAGGTGAGTGTAGGTAGGGAGTTAGGAAGGGGATAGGTCAGTCCAGGGAGGACGGACAGGTCAAGGGGGCGGGATGAGGTTGGTCGGTAGGAGATGGAGGTGCGGCTTGAGGTGGGAGGAGGGGATAGGTGGGAGGAAGAACAGGTTAGGGAGGCAGGGACGAGCTGGACTGGTTTTGGGATGCGGTAGGGGGAGGGGAGATTTTGAAACTTGTGAAATCCACATTGATACCATTGGGCTGCAGGGTTCCCAAGCGGAATATGAGTTGCTGTTCCTGCAACCTTCGGGTGGCATCGTTGTGGCACTGCAGGAGGCCCAGGATGGACATGTCGTCTGAGGAATGGGAGGGGGAGTTGAAATGGTTCGCGACTGGGAGGTGCAGTTGTTTGTTGCGAACCGAGCGTAAGTGTTCTGCAAAGCGGTCCCCGAGTCTCCGCTTGGTTTCCCCGATGTAGAGGAAGCCACACCGGGTACAGCGGATGCAGTATATTTAAAGTTGGAGGAGAAAGTTTTGAAAAGGACATGAAGGGCAATGTTTTTACACAGAGAGTGGTTCATGTGTGGAATGAACTGCCAGAGGAAGTGGTGGATGCAGGTACAGTTACAACATTTAAAAGACATTTGGATAAGTACATAAATAGGAAAGGTATGGAGGGATATGGACCAAATTGAGGCAGGTGGGACTGAGTTTAGTTTGGGAACATGGTCAGCGTGGACTGTTTGGACTGAAGAGTCTGTTTCTATGCATGTTTCTCTGTATGACTCTATGACCCTCAAAATATTTATCACTAGATGTTGATTATTTAATTAGTAACATGGGTGATTAGGTGGCAGCTTAATTGAAAAAAAATGAGCTGAGTTCTTCTCCACTGGTGAGTTGGGCTTCTGGATAACAAAAGGGAAACATAGAGACTGGTTTACATGCTAAAATGTAAATTTACAATCAAACCTTTGTAAATCTCTCTGAAGGATTTTTACTGCGTAACTCAGGTTATGGATATCGTTCAGTGAAACATCATATAGTCCACTATATATTGGCTTACTTATAGGATTAAATTATTAATATATCTTTCTATTGCATGTTTATATTTTTATTCTTTTCTGTTGATGCTTTTTTAATGTTTAGTTAATCCCATTTGTTTTGTTTTTCTTGAGCATCCAGTGATATTTATTATTTTCTGTAGTCTCCTGGTTTTACATCCCAATCTTTGAGGAGAATCATAATCTGAAGAGAACCGTATTGATTACAACTGAGTGGGATTCAAGTCAAGGGTCTAATTTATTCTGCATGAATTGATTTCTTTTCCTTAAGGATGTGCTTTGAAATGAAAATACAATCAAAATTAGAGCATGGTAATATACGTACTGCCTAATAATACCATTAAAGCTGGGTAAAGGCAGACCTTGTCTTCCTTTTAGATCTGATGTCGAAGTTACCATTTTTCTATTTGGACTCTGCTGTTTGTACTACTCCAAAAAATACATTTATCCTAATCTCAGTTTCTCTGAATGTGGGTTGATTTAAAGTTAATTAGAGAAGGTGAAGCAGCTAAGAGTATGCATAATTTGGAGGATGTTGACTGCTTCTGGCAATCCTGCTTATAAATCCTCCTCCGTTTTGTGACAATCAGATGGCCTAGATATTATGATTCTGTAAATCAAAGAACTACAGGCTGAGGGGCTGATAAACCTAAGGAAGTGAGATTCCCCAACTTTACACAATGTTTCATTTATATTGAGGTTTCTATTAGAGAAAGGCACTGCATGTGGTATGGAAATAGAAGGCTTTTCTTAGGTTAGTTAGGTTTAGAATAATTACCTCCTGTCAATGACAAAAAGTAGAAAAAATCTATCTTAAAATATTCTGAGCTATGGTTGGGAAAATGGGTTGAAATTTTCAAGAAAGTGTCACTATCAGTGGTTAAACAAGTCCATGTTTGCAAAAACTGGCTTATGTATTGGACTTGGTCAACTGTTTCTAAGTACTTAGGAGGATTTAAGGATTTCCTTCTTTACAAATGTGTCTAGATCACAATATTAAGTAGAGGATTTGTAAGTGTGGAACTGACATTAATTAATAGCCCCTTCCCTGCTGTTTCTGAGTTTGTGAAGATTTTTCTTACTGTGATTTATGTGCTTTTAGGGAGAAATTCACACTGTGAGGTCAGATGGAACGAATAGGAGCATGTTTGCTCCAGCTTCCACCATTGGCTCCCCTATGGGCTTGGCTTATGATTGGATCTCTATGAACCTTTACTATACCAACTTTGACCAACAGTCCATTGAGGTCAGTATACTTAATTTAAATTCAAGACAATTCCTGCGTGGAATCAACGTTAATATTAAGCATTGTAAAGTTGTAGAATATATTAGATTTACAGAAGCTGATAACTGATTAAATAAATTTTGTACAAGTGGAAGTTTGTTTTTATACAAGTAATTTATTTTTCACTACACATAATGTTGTTCTGACCTGCATATCATGAGGTTAATTGCATTAATTTATCTAAATAATATTTTATGCCAGTTTCTAGACTCTAGAGCAACGGTCAGGACGGGTTGGCTTGGTTGACTGTGGTGTGGTGGAGCATAGTGTGAATAGTGCTGCTTAAATCCTGTTCCAGTTGAGGTAGTTCCTTGGGGGCTACCTCCTTGCCTTGCCCCGTGGTGATATCATGATGTAAACCACAATTAGCAACCTTTGGTCTACAAAACGCTACATGATGAGAGAGTAAAATACTTTATCAGACTCCTTTCAGCATTATGATTTGCATTTTACATTGTGTTATTTATAGCCACTTACTTAAACATTAATTTTCTTCACCAATGTAACATTGAGGAATTTGACACTTCAAGTTAACATTTTTAGCTCGTAGTATGCCCTAATTGTGTTCACAATAACAAGAAAGAAATATGATTCCCAGGACAGATATAAGCCACAGCACACTAAACTGATTGCAAAGATTTTTGCAAGGTAGTGTAAACTGAATAATTAGTAGAAGCATTTATTACAGTGTTTGGTCTTATACCATTATCTCACTTAATGGTGGAACGTGGATGGTCTGGCAAGCAGGCCAAGGAATTTGAAAGTATTTGGCCACTTTAAGTGGATGCACAAGGAGGCAAATATTGTAAAGGGTGCAAATAGATTTTAAGTTTTCATCACATTTTTTCCATGTTTTTAAGGAGGGACTTGGTGGGGGATGGGTGCTGCAGAGATGAGTAAAGGAAAGATGTATCCAAACAAAAATTAAATGAAATGCAACATGGAGATAGAAATATGAGTCTTCTAGGACTAATGGAGTTTTATTTGATCCCCTGTTTAATGGAGGTGAAGGTAGGCATAATACTGCGCAAAATATATTGAAGGTAGTTGCCCCATTTTGCAATCTAAGGTATCCTTTCTACAGGAGAAGACTGAAAAGACATCATTCAGCTGTACAGCCTACCGTGCCCTAGTGGAACTCCATACTTGATGTTCTGCACTTTTGAAAACTTTGGCACATTAGAAAAACTATGCTTTGTGATCTGATGGTTGTTTTCCACGGGGAAGATGATGTAAATATAGCTGGTGAAAAACAATCTAGGAACCCCATTTAAATCATTCAAAGGAATCTTCATCTTGTCAACTTTGAAAATTGCAAGGAAAATAGCAGCAGATCAAAAGAAGTGTGAATAAAACTAAGTGCTGATCCCAAACCCCACCCTCACACACATCCATAACCCACAACAGTTCCACAGCTAACATGTCAGTGGTGAGTACAGCCACAATCTTGACTGATGGGAACAGTGCCTATTGCTCTAAGATGAGGCCTCCTCTCTGTATCTGTAAGTCCCACCTCACAAAGCTGCTTGTCAATCAAATGGCTAGTAGGTTTGTAATCCCAACGGTGCCACTGCATCTCCAGGCAGTCCTGAAGAAGATGAAGCCAGAATTGGAAGGAAGTCCAAGTTATTTCCTTGGCCAGGGTCCTGGTGATAGGGTTGAACAGTGTTAGGAGGTTGCTTTGGGAGCCCAAGGGAGGATTAAGGAGGGAAGTATGACTTTGAGTGTGGTGGGTATGTCCGATGGGCCCAGGGAACATTGCAAAGGAGGTCATCATGCAGGTGATGACATAGCAATGGCAACCCAGCATTATTGTTCTCTATTTCACATTTGCAGACTTGGTCGGGGTGGAGAACATGTGTGAATTTCAGCCCAATGCTATAAAATGTACATGTGGAAAATTCCAGGGAGGGGGTCGGGTAGGATTGAGGGCCAACTGCTTGCCTGCACAATTGAGAAGTTGGCAATGATACAACTACCCAGCAAGAAGCTTGCTCTCTTAATAAGCTAATTTTATCTTCCTTATTTATGTATATATTAGAATTAGAATTAGCTTTATTGTCATGTACTTACATGAGTACAGTGAAAAGTTTACAAGTCACCACTAGTGGTACCACCCTAGGCACAGAGATACCTAGGTACAGATTCTAAAGTACAAATTCTTAGGAATAAATTAGAAAAATAAAGAAATATAAAGTTCAGAATAAAGCTTTCCAACCATGGTCTGCTGGCACCTAACCTCCAGCCTGCACCAGCCCTCACCTCCCAACCGCGCCAGACTTCACCTCAAAGCTGACGAGACTGGGAGAGCCAGGAGCCTGCTCGAGATTCATTTCAAGGCTGGGAGTCTGCGCAGAGGCCGGGAGTCTGAGATTTCTTCAAGCGAAGAAAGGAAAAAGAGAAAAAGAGAAATGGGATCATTTTGACTTTGCACCTGTGGGCTGCTGATTTTGAAGCTTGTCCACCCTCTATATTATGAGGGGTGAGCTTAGGGTGTTTGTGAAAGTGATGGGCTGGGCATCCAACATTACATGGCCCTACACTAAAAATACACTCAGTAGGGCATTCATTATCCCGCCCTACATTGATTTAACATTCATTTTATTCAAGTGTCTCACTTCTTAGAATTCCAGTTAACATTAACTACACTTGAATCCCTCATATGAACAGCAAATTTGAATTTAAGTTGTTATAAAGGAGAAACATTGTAGTACTGTAAATGCAAATAGATTTAGCAGTGTTTCTTATGTTCCTTGATTATTTTTAAAAACTATAAACACAGTGCTGTTTAATTTTATTAGACCCCTTTTCAAGTTGAATAACTATCATGTAAGAATATTATTCAGTACTTTTCACACAGCAGCCTGATAACACAAAAGATAATTTCTTATATGCATTTACATTCTTTAAGGTAGTAAAAGTGCATAATGATGTCAAGTACAGAAAAACAATACTAACAAATAATGGACAAAGGACTGGTGTTGGGACACCCAAAGGAATTGTGGTAGATCCAGCAAGAGGGTGAGTAGAATATTAGAGTAAATTTCAAAGTTATTTTGTAAACTTAAGGCGTCCGTGTGGAACTGAAAAATAATTTGGTTCTTATTTATGAGGTGCTGAAAGTTTTGCATGCTAAAATGTGGCATAATCCTAGATGATCATAAAAATCATTCAAGAATTTCAAAGTCTGAAGTGGGAAAGGACCAACTATTATATTAGCAAGTACCCAGTTGTTGGTCTACCTCTCCCTTCACAGCATAACTGAATCTGTTGGATGTATTAGTGTAAGCATTACTTGATTCATTCATTTCTCTCACCTTGAATAAATATACTTCCCTCTATTTTTATGTCTACCTCTTCCAAATATGAAGTTCCATTTCTTAAAGCATTTGCCAACCATTCCCATTGGATAGAATTTCAGTTTGCCAAATCACTTACCTATTAGATATTGTTTCATTAAGAAGCAATTACAAGATTGCAAATAGATTAATAACATATATAACCTCTTAAAATTTCCCTAATGTTTCATGTTCAGCACATGGAATGTTAGTGACCCATCTTTACATATTAACATCTTAGAAATTACTCTTTATACAGTCAGTCATGTTCATTTGAATTTGCTTACAATGTAAATAATTAAATTATACTGTTAAAATGTGAGGATCTTTTTACTTTAAACAGAGTCAATATAATTTTGTGATCCGACAAAACAAGTCACAATTTCAGGTGAAACATGACAGTAGCAGAATTAAAGATATGGCAACACACTTGCCACCTGCTCTTACTTGAATTCAGACTGCTATGATTTTGGGAAGTGTTGGCAAACATGTGAGAGTTGATTTAAATATGCACACAAAGGTTCTATGCTGCAGTCTTTCCTGAGACTATAATAATGTTGCCATTGTTGCTGGTACCTCTATGCTCAATTCTCAAAATGACTGAAGCCTCCATGTTATAGCACCCTGCACTTCCCACACTCCTCACAGGAGTTAAATTCCATATCCTGGTTTGGGTCTGCAGTAACATTGAACAATGCAAACGCGAGTGAAATGGACCTGGAGTTAAATTGATTGAAAATTGAGTAAGACTATGGTCACTACTATAGGAGTGTAACATGATTCACTGGTGAGTGAAATATTATGATTGTATTATGGTCCGAAGGCAATTTTGGAAAGTAATTATGAGTCTAAAGCATTCGGATTTTCCCAATCACTATGACCTTTGCAAACTTAAAATTTCACAAGTCTGCATGTAAACAAAATATATTGAATCACCAATACTCATTGCTATCCTGTGATCCTAATTCTGTTTCCTCAATCTGCAAGATCTCACAGAACTTAAACTCTGCACCTTCTGTAGCTGTAACACTATATTCTGCATTCTGTTCTATTACCCTGATGTACTTATGTAAGGTATGATTTGCCTGGATAGCACATAAAACAATATTTTTCACTCTATCTCAGTAAATCAAAAATAAGGAAATCAGTCATGGTGAGAGAGAGAGGGAGATTGTGTATTTGTCCTCAGCCTATTGACCACACATGGTGTGCAAATTGGCCATGCAAAAAAAAGAATGTTCCGTTTCATACAATGTTTACAATCCTGACATCTCCTCTGAATGCTGAAATAAAGCAATATCGACAGGTGAAGAAACCATTTGTTTTAGTATATTAATGCGCAGCATTCAGGAATGCACATGTACCAATTTTAATGATCTTTATAATTGTAAATTTATTTCAATCATTTTCAAACAAAAGTAGGACATTTTCAGAAACAGTTAGCATATGGAATTATTCATAAAATATTGCCAGGTTTAACTCACTCATATGCAAGATCTCTTGTCATACCTATGGCATTGGTGGGTAGCACAATGAACATGCTCCATGCTACATTTTTTATTGTCATACTTTTATTATTTCATGCTTTTACAACATCTGAAAACTATGTGTAAATCTATTTCAGGAAGTTGTACTGGACGGATCAAGGTACCGACAGTGGAATTCCAGCAAAAATTGCTAGTGCTTATATGGATGGCTCTAATCCTCGAGTTCTCTTCACTAATGACCTAGATCAAATAGAGTTCATTAGTATTGACATCAAAGCACGCAGGCTGTACTGGGCTGTGTCTGGTACAGGAGTGGTATGTATTTTTACTTTATGAAGGGCACATATTCATAATAAATGAAATTTTGGGCACCTATCAGTCTCCCACCCTAATAGATCATTGTTAACAGCCATTATTCACTCTGTTTCTCTATCAGTTCCACCAGATGATGCCTTTGTGCAATGAGCAATTCATTAAATTTTGTTACTGTTTTGATGGGAGGAGGTGGCAAAGAAAGAAAATATTTAAAAGATTTTAAGTAGGTGAAGCTATTTAACAATGTTTATAGCCAAGGTGTGTACACTTTATTCCATCATATGTCTTTTCAAGGAGTTAATTTTCCCGTCATTATTGATTGGGTAAGAATATTTGATAGTGATTAATGAGGTCTGAATTTAATGGCCATCATGGTGACCTTATTTACCGGATGGAATGCAAGGGTGAGCTCTGCCACAGCTATTTCTGGAGACTCAATGTGGTTAAATATCAATCAGGTAGTGATTTAATTTCAAAAGGTGCTGGCCAGCAGAGAACTGGTGGATCCTTAGTCCCAGCAGGACCTTGTCTTTGAGGAAGGCTGGGCATATCTCCTTCATCAGTGGTAGACCTTGCAAACAAGGGTTCACTCTGTGGGCCATAGAGAGCCGTATCAGGAAGTCCTCATCTCACCCTGAACCCACAAGGAGGCTGCCAGGGTACACCTGGTAGTTAATCCATGGGGAGTACAGCACTCCCGCCACCCCAAATGGTAATATTGACAATTTCCTGGTCTCTATTTATATTAGCGGATGTTAGTAATTAATAGGCTTGACAAGTCATATTATAATTAACATATTTTTATGAAGTACAATTAATGCAATTCCAGTGTAAATATCGATTCTTGTGTTGCCCCTATAGATTGAACGAGGAGATCTAAATGGTTTACACCGGATGACCGTGGTTAACCACCTTTCTCATCCTCGGGGTATAGCCATATACGAGGGCTTCCTTTACTATACAGATTCTGATTTTGAGATCATTGAGCGTGTGGACAAGATTACTGGTGAAAACCCAGTTGTCATGAGGAATAACATTGCAGGGCTGAATTGCCTCAGAGTTCACTTCAGAGACAGTGAGTAGTACCTGTAATTTTTTTAAAAAAATTCATCAACAGGGTGAGGGTGTCACTGCCTAGGCAGCATTTATTGCCCAGAGGGCATTTCAAAGTCAACCACATTGCTTTGGGTCTGGAGTCACATGTAGGCCAGACCAGGTAAGGATGGCAGTTTCCTTCCCTAAAGTACATTAGTGAACCAAATGGGTTTTTCATGGTCATCGTTATATTCTTAATTCCAGATATTTTTAATTGAATTCAAACTCCACCATCTGCTGTGGTAGGATTTGAACCCGGGTCCCTGGAAGATTATCTGGATCTCTGGATTAACAGTCCAGCGATTAATGCCACTAGGCCATCACCTCCTTGTACTAGCTGAGTGCCCAAATATTTTCTGTACAATTACTGTAAAGAAGTGAGATCCATCACGTATATAGAACTCAGCTGTTCTAATAGTTGAATTTCTAAAGTCATTTTAGCTAAAGCTTCTATATGATTATTAAACATCCTAATATAAATCAACTAACCTTATGTCTATTTATCTTCAAAGACTAACAAGAATGTGCATTTACATACAAATGATTTACTTCTTACGTGCAAACAATTTGTGCATTTGTCATTTGATGCTTTGCACTATGAAAATTAATTTATGAACTAGGAATAACTTTTATACAGTTATCTGTGACCTAGAAAGCATTGGAATCGTGGAAGTAGATTCAGTAAAACTTTGAAAGGAAATTGGACACATACTAGACAATAAAATAAAATGAAGTGGGAAAATAAAGAATTGGATTGAAGTCGAGGTGTAAGAGTAATCAAGAAGATGAAAAGAGATGATAGAGAACAGTTAAATATTTGAACTAAAGTTTGCTGATGAAGTATAATATTGTGTTGTATTAAATTGTTCACATTGGTAGGTGAGAGCCCTATAAGCGCTTGTATGCTATACTGCTTCTATTTATTTATTCTGAATCTGGGATATCACTGAAACAGATATTTTATTACTTGCAACAAACTTACTGATATAAATGTTTGAAGTTCATTTAATCATGATCAATGACCTCCAAATCAGCTGGTTGTAGATTTCAAGTTTTATTTAATAGTTCTTCAATGACAACAATATCACTCTAATTTTGGATGCCATCACGCAAGTGGAAAAGCAGCTCTAAGTCTTAAATGGATATTGCAGTTTTGGTAATTGGGTTTGTAAGAGGGATTATTGAGATCAACTTTCAAAATGTTGGATTTTAATTAAAAATCAATGAAATCGACATATTGCAGTGATGTGCAACTATATATTATAGATAGTCATTTCTTAAGATTTTAAAACTTCTGCTCCCACTTCAATCAGTTCCTTTAGCAGTCCCATATAAATAGTCTGAAACATGGCATTGTGCAATTTCATGATGGCATTAATTGGTCTGATTAAGGTGGAATTAAGTATTTGCTGATAGACATCTTTAAAATTACAGTCTGACTCTTAAGCAAGCATTTTTCTAATAAATTGACAATTGAAGATATCAGGAAGGCAGTAACTCATAAGATTGAATGTAATGAGGCAGTAGCCTAATCTTTGATTTTAGATTGTTATAAATTGCTGACAGTTTCTGTGTCATTTAGGTACCTTGATTTGGTAGATGTTTCAGACTTTGCCAGTTCTCCCAGGCTTGTGTATATGTGGTCATTAGTTGGTGTGCATTGTCTAACAATTATTGTTTATGATATTAGCAGACACATTTTGGCCATAATGTGTCATATGAACATGTTATTTCAAAGTACCTGTCAAAATATATTATGAAGTAATGCCATAGAAATATGTTAAGCATTTGTTCACTATACTTGTAACAATTGTATTAATTTTGAAATCAATCAATTTTTAGAATTACTTGTTGAAACATGAACAACATAAAAATCAGGAATAGCCAAGTAGGTTTTGCACCATTAATCTGTTATCTGATGTCAATGTGTAGGATGGATTGCCACTTTGACCCTTTTTCATCAAAGAAGGGAGCTCCACATTTTTAAGAGGAGAACCCGCTCAGGACTCCTTCTGAAATGTGGACGCATACTTCAATTTTGACACTTCTTTAATCATGTAGAACTAACAGAAGGAGGAATTCCACACCCCCATTCCACACCAGTCAGCTGCCGCATTCTGAAATTTAGAAGTGTTGATAACTATTTTGATAGCTGCATCAAAGGATAAGTATACAAGGTAAGTATTAAGTTCGGGTGCTGGGAGGAGCAATACCAGATAAGTAAGGGGGAATACTTGGCAGGTAAATGTGCCAGCTGGATAGGGTGACTTTCCAAGGTCTTCAGGCACAGGGGATTTGCCCAGTGGAAGGTTCAATTTCCTAGCCAATTCTTTGAGAGCCTGCTATGATGGGGATTCAATAAAGTCTCACTACCAGTGCAACTTCCACCTTTGCTGGCATAACAGCGGTCTGGCCAGTGGAAAATCCAGGCTCTTGTTTCAGCAAAAGCTTTTTAGAGTAGAAAATCTAATCATAGAGTCATAGAGCTGACAGCACAGAAACAGACCCTTCAGTCCAACTCGTCCATGCCAACTACATGTCCTAAATAAATCTAGTCCCAATTGCCAGCATCTGGCCCATAGCCTGCTAAACCGGTCCTATTCATAGACCCATCCAGGTGCCTTTTAAATGTTGTAATTGTACCAGCCTCCACCACTTCCTGTGGCAGCTCGTTCCACACATGCACCACCCTCTGCATGAAAAGTTGCCCCTTAGATCCCTTTTAAATCTTTCCCCTCTCACCTTAAACCTACGCCCTCTAGTTTTGACCTCCCCCACCCTGGGGAAAAGACCTTGTCCATTTACCCTGTCCATGCTCCTCATGATTTTATAAATCTCTATAAGGTCACCCATCAGCCAGGGTCATGGGTGGCTGGTTATGGTCTTGTAAGGGGTTTTATGAAAAGTGAGGATGTAAGTGGCCTGGAGAATGGGAGGAGTCTGAGTCAGGTGGGGCATTGTTCGGGACAGAACAAGTGTAGAAGAACCAACATAGACAAGGATGGGATCAGCAGAAATAGCAGAGTATGACAGGAATCAAAATGAATTGAGGGTGAAAGATAAGGGGGGCATTCAGTAGGAAAGTGAGATAGTCAAATGTACTGGTGTTTACAGTTAAAATGATGCAATCCACCTTTCAAAAATAAATCCACAGTTGCAGGTCCTGTCAAAAGTGCAACACTCAAAGTGGGAAGAGGCCTTTCTGGATGCATTGAGCTGATGCTTAGAAATGATGACTGACTGGAACAGAATCCTATTAAATATGAGAGATAGTAGGAACTGCAGATGCTGGAGAATCTGAGATAAGAAGGTGTAGAGCTGGATGAACACAGCAGGCCAAGCAGCATCAGAGGAGCAGGAAAGCTGAAGTTTTGGGCCTAGACCCTTCTTCAGAAATGCTTCCTTGATGCTGCTTGGCCTGCTGTGTTCATCCAGCTCTGCACCTTGTTATCTCCTATTAAATAGGAGTCTAGTGGAGGGAGAATCGTGCTCAATTGAGTTCTATTCCCAATGAACTTGCATTGATTCCAGAATTCACTGCATCACAATGAGAACCAATAAATGCAAACAGCCACGCGACATTGTGGGCTCATTGGTATCTTGTAGTGTCTGAAGTATTGGGTGAGAATGCTAGTGGCTCAAGAGTCAGATTTATTTATTTATTTGTCACATGTACTAAGTATAGGGATACAAAAGTACAGCGAAATGTACAGAAAGTTGCCATTCACTGGCGCCCACTTAGTTACAGAAAGGAGAATTAAAAGATTTAACAGAGCCAAAATGTAAGCAAGAAACAAAAAAAGTCCAGATCTCAGAGTCCTACGTCCCATTTCCACAATGGTGCATGCGCCGCTCCAGGCGCTAGGCACCCAGGAGGCCGCTGCTGCTACTGCCATGTGAAAGGCCCACACTCACCGCCATCGCCCCCTCACCGGCCCCGCTCTCACAGTCATTGCCCCCTCACTTGCCGCTCTCACTGCCATCAGCCCCTCACCACCATCGCCAGCTCACCGGCCCTGCTCTCACCGCCCACTGCTGGCCCCTCACCGGCCCCGCTCTCACCGCCCTGCTGCCCCCTCACTGGCCCCGCTCTCACCGCCCTGCTGCCCCCTCACTGGCCCCGCTCTCACCGCCCACTGCTGCCCCCTCACCGGCCTCACTCTCACCACCCACTGCTGCAGTTTCCAGGACTGGATCCCTCTAGTTTCCTAACTAGAAGATCTTGAAATAATAAGTGATAGGGGTTAAAATTGAATCAGAGATAGTAGGAACTGCAGATGCTGGAGAATCCGAGACAACAAGGTGCAGAGCTGGATGAACACAGCAGGCCAAGCAGCATCATAGGAGCAGGAAGGCTGACGTTTCGGGCCTAGACCGAGCAGGTTTATCATGCAAGGCAAGGGTATAATTGTTGGGTTTGAGCCTCATTGAAGGGAAGCTTAATATTGTCTCTGGGAATGTGCAAGGACATGCTTTAAGTACCCCAAGCAATGAGCAACGTTTCCCATCAAATGAATGTTTCATTGCAGGAACCTGTCCTCTGCCGCCACAGCTGATGAACATCATAGTAGGTTTTCTAGTTTCGGAGGCCAGAGGAAATATACTAGACCAAGGACTTGTAAGGAACAAAACAGAACAGGTTTGGTGGGTAATCTCGGGAAAATTATGACTGTTTGGATCAACAAACTGTATTTACAGTTCTGCTTAAACCAATACTACTTTAACACTGTGCATTGCTGCCCTTCTTCTGGCCATTGTACAGCTCAGGAGAAATCAGCAAGGAAGGATACGCGAGCAGCAGTAATAAATGCCTATAGTGAAGCAGCTTGCAGAGGTGCAGCAGTGCAGGGGTCACTGTAGAGATGTTGAGCATTAGCCAGAAACAGAGGAAACAGAGTGTACAGGAGGCACTTCAAATGACAGTAAATCACAGGTGCATGCCCCTCAGGATGTTTTGGGAGGTTGTCTCCTGCAGATGTC